GACACGGGAACGGCTCAGTGCTGCGCTCTCAGGTTGTGTGCAGCCCTGGTGGCCTTTGCCCCGCGTTAATCGCGTGTTTCTGCACTCACAGCTGCTGGCGAGTGGAGCAAGGGGCTTCCCGGGCTGCGCTGTGCTGGGAAACGCTGTCAGCATTCGTGACTCACTGCTGCTGACGGAGCTCGGCCGCGTGCTGTCAGTTTGTAAAACCTCAGCCCTGCAAAGCCCCCCCAGAACCTGTGTTTGTTGTCTGGGCCATTGGGTTCCAAGGAGCTGTGGCACAACCGCAGGCACAACTCACAGCATCGCGGTGCTGTGCCCACACTGCAGCCCTCTGGTCCTTGCACGGAGCCCACGGAGGCTGCTGGGTACCAGTGGGTCACAGCAGTGGTCGGGCAGGGCACGGAGTGACCGCTGCTGGGGACGTGGGGACAGCAGGGAATGGAGCAATGACAGCCTCCACCAGCCCTGTAATTACAGCCCGGATGGGGCCTTTGTGTGCGAAACCTGAGCCCCGTGGGGAGCAAAGCATCCATCTGCCAGCACTGGTGTCTGTGCTGGCCCTGCGCCGGCAGGGTTGGATGTGGGGAATCAATAGCTTGACCCTTCCCCAAAGCCCTCAACCCCTGCTCTTGGCTCACTGTGCAGGGGACCCCCAGATCTCTCAGTGCAGACCCCCTCTAACCTCTACTCAGCACTCTGTGTCCCTTAAACCATAGCAGACTGCTCACTAAGCCCAGCAGTCCTGCCGTGCTGACCCCCTGCTCCCCCCCAGGTGCCAGCTATGGGGTGCTGCCCCGGCCCTGCCGAGCTCTGGTGCTGCTGAACCCGCAGAGCGGCGCTGGCCGCGCGCTTGAGGATTTCCAGGTGGTGGTGCAGCCCATGCTGGCTGATGCTGACATCACACCCACCGTCTTTGTCACTGGTGAGTCCCCAGGACCCTCCTCCTGCCCGGCACCCACCTGGGATGGGGTCCTATGGGGCTGCGGTCACCATCCTGGGTGGCAGTGGGCAGGGCGAAGGACTCAGTGTTTTCATTTGCACTGCAGAGAGACCCCAGCACGCCCAGGAGAAAGTGCAGGATGAAGACCTGTCGCAGTGGGATGTGCTGGTGGTGATGTCTGGGGATGGTCTGCTCCACGAGGTGAGCACCTGCTGTCACCCCATGGCCAGGGCTGGGGGCAAAATGGGGGGAGATGTGGATACAAAACTCAGCTGGAAGCCATCGGGGTGGCCACAACCTCTGCTGAAGGCACTGTGGGGTCACTGGGGTCTTTGTGCAGCCCCATGTACCACCAGCTCCCAACCCCCCTTCCTCCTGCAGGTGCTGAATGGGCTGATGGAGCGGTCGGATTGGGAGCAGGCCCTGCAGACACCGCTGTGCATCCTGCCTGGGGGCTCTGGGAACGCCCTGGCTGCCTCCATCAACTACTATGCAGGGTGAGTGGGGTGATTGTGGGATGGGGACACCAGCCCAGCATGATTCATCCCTGTAGAGCACAGGGAGAGCTGGAGTTCTCTCCAGGCCTTGAATGTGCCACATTTTCACTCAAATGAGCTCTGTGGCTGATCTTATTGTACAGCTGCATACCCTAGGGGTGGGACTGGGGTTGGTCCAGCAGCCCCATAGCATCCTCTAGGTTGGAGAAGACCTCAAGGGAACCGTACCCAACCATCAGCCTTGGTGCATCGGTTCCCTTCTAGGAGCTGTCCCCAGCAGACACCATCAGCAGCTGGGATGTGTCCCAGCCATGGCACAAAGGCAGTGTCCTTGGGGGGGGTCACAGCCCACGCTCACCCTTCTCTGTCCCCCGCAGCAACGACCACGTGGCCAAGAAGAAACTGCTGACCAACTGCACCTTCATCCTGTGCAAGGGGCTGCACGCTCCGATGGACCTGGTCTCATTGAGCACAGCCTCGGGCAAACGCTTCTTCTCCTTCCTGGGCTTCGGATGGGGTTTCATCGCCGACGTGGACATTGACAGTGAGAAGTACAGGCGGCTGGGCAACGCACGCTTCACGCTGGGCACGCTGCAGTGCTTGGTACGCCTGCGCATCTACCAGGGCCGCCTCTCCTACCTGCCTGCGGCCACCGAGCCGGGCAGCCCCAGGGACCCCAAAACCCGCCGGGCCACACCAACAGCGGGGACCGAGGCTCTGAGTGAGGACAGGGAGCTGCCTGCTGACACGCTGCTGGTGCCGCTGGGGCAGCCGGTGCCGCCGCATTGGGTCGTGGTACCCGAGGAGGAGTTCGTCTGCGTCTACGCCATCTACCAGTCCCACCTGGGCACCAACCTGCTGATGGCTCCGGAGGCGCGGCTGCACGACGGCTGCATCCACCTCTTCTACGTGAGGGCGGGCATCAGCCGCGTGGCGCTGCTGAAAATCTTCCTGGCCATGGGCAGAGGCACGCATCTGGATCTGAACTGCCCCCACCTGCACTGCATCCCGGTGCGCGCCTTCCGCCTGGAGCCGCGGGGCAGCGCTGGCATCATGACGGTGGACGGGGAGGCGTTGGCGTGTGAACCCGTGCAGGGGCAGATCCACGGCCACATGTGCCGCGTGGTCACCGGTTCCTAGGGCCGGCAGCGGGCGCGCAGCCCTCCTCCCACTCAGGAACCTCCTCTTCCAGCAATAGTTCTCTGTGCCCGCGGGCACTCGGCCTTTTGCTTAGCTTTACCCTCGTGGGGACGGCGCCGTCCCAGAAATGAGCCACGAGCCGCAGCGGGTATTTCAGTGCCAGCTCCGTCCCGGTGCCATCGGTACGACGTCCCGGTCCTGGGCGGCTGCGCCGGCACAGCCACGGCCCCAGGTTTGGTGGCACCGCTCGCGTCCCCGCCGGGCTGAGCCAGGACCAATTATCTACCGGGAGACATCGATAATTTCTTTGTTGTTTTTGTTTTTGTTTTTTAAAAAGAGTGTTTCTACCCAAAGCTTCCCGTAGAAGCAGAGTTTATTCTTGTGAGAAATGCAATAAATATTTAGCATTTGCAAAAAAAAACCAAAAAAACAAAAACCTAAAAACCCAAACCCAAGCCAAGGACGCAGCCTGGGCGTTCGGTGCCTGCAGTGTTGGGGGGAGGTGAGGCTGAATGCAGCCACGGGGAGCCCACATCTCCCCCCACAGCCCAGCGAGGGGCCCTTCCCAGGAGCTGGGTTGGGGCGGATCACAGCCTTCTCGCAGTAATTACAGCTCATTTGCTGCTCTCAGCACAAAGGAGGGCAAACCACACATTTATTCATCTACAAAGTATGCAATTAGGATGGTGGGAATGGAGAGAAGAGCACGACTGTTCTCCCCAAAGAGCCAGGGGTCCCAGCACAGCCTGCAGCCAGGGGCTGCATGGGGGAAAAGAAAAGAGACCGACAGCCCAAACTACTCACAGAGGCGGAATTTAATGGCAAGTCATCTTCCCTCCTTTATTACACCTTGGTTAAGCCAAACCACCACCACCAAAAAAATAATTCTGCAGGTAAAAAAAGTTTTAATGGTCACACAGCACTTTATACATATATCGTTAAGCAACCAAGCATCCACATCTGCACGTGAACGACACACCTCTAAGCATGGCCTCAATGGTCGGGTCTGGTTTGGTTTTGTTTTCTTCATTTAAATACTGTACAGAATTCAAAGGCTACAAACTGATTTTGTAATGCTTCTCCCCCAACCCCAGCACTTAAAACAGTTACAGGCTGCTCGGATTTGTACATCACACAGTCGTGTAGCCAGTTTTAAGGCTAACAATATGCATCATGCTTTGGCTTTTTTTTTTTCTTTTTTTTTGTGTCTTTTTAATTATTATCATTATTATTATTATTATTATTTTAAGGTTTTAAGCCTTTTTTAACTTTTGTTACCCTTAAATATTACATACATACACGAAAAAAAAATTACATAGCTGCAGTGTGCTCACCACCAACCTGGTCACCAGGGAGCTTCACATTATCAAAAGCTTAGAAAATCTGTAAACCTCCGTGCTGTGGTGGGGGCTGAGCCCCCCTGCAGGGCAGTGCCCACTCCTGGGGGGGGGCCCTGGGCCAACGCTCTTTGCTTATGATCAGTGGAAAAGAAAGCAATGGGGAAAACCTGGGACAGACCTCTCTGAGCAGCTCACTGCCCCCATGGCAGCGCTGTGTGTTCTGGAGGGTGAGAGCTTTGGGGAGCAAAGGGATGCACGGAGCTCTGCCAGCAATCAAGTTGTGGCCATTGAGGGTTTTCTCCCTCTGACCAAGAGCACTCGGTGCTGGCTCCTTCCCAGCCATATGGAGGGGGTGAAGGACAGCCACACAGTGCAGGTCAGAAGCACAGCAGGGAGATACTGAGAGCAGGCTGCTGTGCTGGGTGTCAAGGCCACATCCTGGCTGGGGTGGAGGAGGGAACACAGCCACACTGAAAGGATCTGCCTCCATCCTTACTGCTGAACGGCCCCAGCTCTCCCTGCTGTCAGCTGGAAGGACAGCCTGGCTGCTCCTGTGGATGCAGCAGTGCTGGTGTGACCTCCTCAGCTCCAGAAGTGAACATAAGTGCGTGTGGGAGGCTCCAGCCAGGAGGCTGCTGCTCCTGCAGGTCACTGCTGCAAAGTGCTGAAGGTCACCGGCTCCATCAGTGCTGTGCTGCCCTGCCAGCTGTTTCCCAGAGGCCCAGCAGCAGCACACAGATAGGATGTGCCGTGCCCACAGCTCTACCAGCCACAGCAGGTTGGGGTAGTCACAGGAAACAGTTGGCCAGGGGAGGAAATAGCAGCAGCCCGTGTCAGTGTGGGATGCACTCCGGTTACTGGTTGAGGAACCACCACAAACTGCTGCTCCCACAGGAGTTGGCCACGCTGCATGAGCTCCTGTCCTATGGGTGACCCTGGCTCACACAGCCCCCAGACCCAGCAGCAGCAGGTGATGGAGAGGCAGCAGGTGTGCCACGCTCCCCCCCCCAACCAGGGGAAGCTGAGAGCTGAGTTACACCCAGTGCTGCCAGGGAGGAATGAAGGGAAGATTCAGACAGCTGAGCAAGTAAAGAGGCAGAACCCCACATCTCGTGTATTTCTAGAGGACAGGCATGCATGGTGGGGAGAGGGAAGTTCGCCTTACTCGGAGAATAGACTGTGGATGGTGGAGCTGATTCCAGAAGAGCAGAAGTCACAGGAGCAGATGGAAACCCCACGGCACTACCAGGGCAGCACAGAGTTCTGGTTCTGCCCATTCAGTTCTGATCAGAAGAACCTCATAGCTATCGGTGAACAACTACGACTAGAGCAACTCCGTATGGTGCAGACAACTTCAATGCAAACAATCCAACGTCTGGGTATGTATCAGCTTGGGTAGACTTCAGAAAACCCATGGTAATGCAGAGAAAAATGAAAGAGGGCAGCGCCCTTCGCTTCCAGATCCTACAGCAATCACTTCTGGCTCGAACCCCAGCAGCAGAAACAGCTGGGTGGGAAAAGTCTGTGTGGAAAGGTGCCCCAAGATGAAAGTGCAGAGGGAACGTGGCTGCAAGACTGCTTCTGTGCGGGTCTCCAATCTTACCATTGCAGGGTCAAACTCGCGAGAGGAGCACGTGTGTGGGACAGGGGGAAGGAAGGAGGGCCGAGGGCAAATTCATGCGTAGACAACCTTTCCTCGGAGGAGCAAATCAGGCCTACCACCTTCTTTGGAACAAACCAAGCTGAGGAAGAAAAGCTGGAAGGAGAAGCCAGTTTACTGGTAACAGCATTTGCCAATTTCCTTTCTGCTGCTTTCCCTTCTCCTCTGCACCTGCCTGTCCCTAACCCGACGGTTTATTTCTCCTCTGTCCACTCTGGGATATTGGCCCCTGCTAAGGCAGCCCGGTACTGCTGCAAGACACCACGGATGCTTTTAATGAACCCCTTGGACAAAGGGAAGAGGGGGAACCCAATATCGGGGTAACCGCTCTTCTCCGGAAGGAAACTCCTGTAGCTCTTTCTCCTTTTCTTTGGTTTGACGCTCGGCTGCGAGGCAGAGTCCTGGGCAGCCTTCCCCTCGTCCGTTCGGTCTCTGGCCAGGTCCACCCCCCTGGCTTGGCCCGCGCTCTCCGAGTCTGAGTACTGGTGGAGATCGCTGGCGTTGGGCGTCGAGGTCGTGAATTCTGCCTCGTCCAGCTCCTCCTTCCCGTCCAGCGCCGAGTCGGAGAACTCAGCCGCCGCTCCCTGCTCGGCGGATCCGCTGCACTCCCCCACGTTGTCTCCGGGGCTCTCGGCCAGGGCGCTGCCCGCAGAGAGGAGGGAGGCAGAATCCGCCCCGTTGGTCTGCTCGTGGCTCTTTTCCACCAGCTCGTTGGTCTCCAGCCAGGACTCGATGCGGGACACCAGGCGCCAGCCGTTGCAGCGGAAATGCTCGCGGATTTCGTGCTCGAAAACCTCCACGGGTCTGCGCAGCAGCTGCATCATGGACTGCACCACCCGGATCAGAGTCATCTCGTTGTAGCAGCGGCTGTTCTCGTAGCCCTCCTGAAGGCCCCGGTCACTGTCGAAGCCTGCCTCGTTGTAATAGGGCTCGTTCACTAGGATGAGACCTGGCAAAGGAAAAGGAGGGCAGTGGATTAAAGGAGGACCTCCTCTGTTGGTACCCATAGCGCAGGAGGCAAATCCAGCAGTAGGAAGGGCTGGGAGAAGGCACGAAGGAAGCTGTGCTTTGGTTCCTGCTACCTGCTTTTGAAGGCAGGCTGAATAAACAGGATTCTGCAAAATGCACTGGAATCACAGAATGGCTCAGGTTGGAAGGGAACTCAAGGATCATCAAAGCTCCAACCCCCTGCCACGTGCAGGGCCACCAACCTCCACATTTCATACCAGCCCAGGCCCCCATCTAACCTGCCCTTGAGCACCTCCAGGGATGGACAGGGCATCCACAGCCTCTCTGGGCAGCTGTTCCAGCACCTCACTGCTCTCATAGTAAAGAACTTCCCCCTGACATCCAACCTAAACCTTCCCTCCCTCAACTTCAAATCATTTCCCCTTGTCCTGCTGTTATCTCCCCTTTCAAAGAGCTGACCCCCCTCCTGTCTGTAGGCTCCCTTTAGGTACTGAAATGCTGCAGTGAGGTCACCCCACAACCTTCTTTTCACCAGGCTGAAAAAGCCCAGCTCCCTCAGCCCGTCTTTGTAGGGGAGGTGCTCCAGCCCCCTGATCATCTTTGTGTGAATGGCTCTGCAGCCTTCTGTTCACACGCTGAGGATCCCAGACAGCACCAAGAACAGCATTTGAGAGGAGGCTTCCACTGGTGTGATGCAGAGGGCACACAGCAGCAGAGGAGGTCAAAAGGGTGGAAGGAAAAACATTTCACAACTTTCCCTCTATTCCTAGCAAAAAAAGAATGCAAATGCAACCCAGACATTTTCTTAAAAATATTATTAAATACATTTTTTCTCCCCTCCTCCTCTCAATAAGAAAGGAAGCCATACTTTGACCCGACCATGCTACCCAGTATGGTCCCAGCAGGGCAGTACAGAGACGAGGAACAAAGTGACAAGCCACCCACACGGAGCTTTCTCTGCCTGCCTCTGCCAGATTGCAATTCTGTGCAGGTAGAAACGACACTGATATTGCCATGCTGCTGGCAGCCTGCCACAAGCTGCATTAGAGCTGGTGGAGGTGACAACACGAGTCTCTCCAAGACCAGGCAGCAGGAGGGAGGGCGGAAGATTTTCCACTAGCACCACAGTTGCTCCAGTAAAACATTCAGTAGTTCAGCTTCTAAATTTGGATGCTCAGCTCTGTAAATGAGAAAAGGCTTTTGTTGTGGTGTTGCCCCCCAGCAGGAGGGCACGGCAGGCTGGGAGGCTGTGAAGGAGCAAGAGTCCCTGTGTACTCCAGGCAGCAGCCTTTGTTCTGTGTCAAAGATTTCTCAAGTCACATTCCTGGGCTCCCCGCACAGAAAGTTGGCCTTAAGGTGGAGAATTGATTTAGACTGTCTGCCTCCAAACTGGATATTATAGGGCAAAGCTCTATGACAGGAAGCCCTGGGGCCAGTCTAGACACACCCCTGATTATTCTGCTTTAGGAGTGTAAACACCAACATCAGGAGCAAAAATGTGCCCCAAGTAGATGACTCAGTGGGGATAAAAACAGTCCTGCAAATTAAGTCCAGTTTAGCAGCAACTTTGGTAAATGGCTGAGAACAAAATGGTCCACCTTTGTCAGCTCAGAATAACAAGCAGAACAGCTCTGTGGCTGCAGGAAGAAGAGAAAGCATTGTCTCAGAGACCTGGGACACAGCCAAAAAATCAAGGCATGAGAAAAGCTTGTACCTGCTCAGAATGCTGAATTGCAGAGATAAGGACACTGCTTTGTCCAGCGAGGTGAGAGCAAAAGGCAGCAGCAGCCCAATTGGCATGGCACGTATCAACCCCCTGCCAGACTTAAGCTTGCATTCCCCCCTGCTTTTTCCTGTCCCACAGGTTCTGCAGGAGCATTTACCTTGGATGGAGATGAGTACTTGGAGGAGGCTGGATTTACTGGTCCACCTTTCCGTCCCCTGAAATACACATAACAAATGCATCAAAAGGCAGAAGCACCACTGGTTTGCTCAGAGATAACCACTGGATGAAGCAAGACCCCAGTTTCTCTACATCCCCACCACTCAGATCCTGTGGCTTGCAGCAAGAACAAGGGACTGACTCAACAGGCACGTGATGTGCTGGTGCCCCTGCAAGACCAAGTCATCTTCCTTACTTTCTGTCAGCCCAGCACGCTGCCTGGCCATGCTGTCTGCCTGGAAGGGCATAGAACTACACACCACATCAGCTCCAGTCCCAACATCAGTCCACCTCCAGATATCTACAGTCTGAGCCACCACCAAGTTTAAGCACCAGACACCAGATGTCACCCAGGACTCCTGGCCTGGATGGAAGCGTTTTGTTCCAGCAGTGGCCTGGCACAACCACTGTGAGCTGTGGATGGGTAGAAGGAAGCATTACCTTGCCTATCCACGTCCCCAGGAGGCTGACACACACTTTGCCATTGTCATACAGGTTGGGATTCAGTCTCCCGCTGCACTGGGAGAGGTAGCGAAAGAGAGGTGGCACAGCAGGGTAGATGTTGGGGAGCTGGATGTCAAAGAGAAAGAGGCCGTCTTCATAGGGTGTGCGTGTGGGCCCTTTTATAAGTGCTGAGAAGAGGTCCTGTGAAGAAAGGTGGTATAAAGTCACCAGCTGTGTGATCACAGCCCATTTATCCCTTTATCCACTTCAGCCCTTGCTACAGACCTGCAGTTTACACATTTCAGGGCACCTTCTCCCTAGAAGCTGTGCTTCTGCTATGGCCCTGCTGTGCCCACTGCTCACACACCCTCCACTGCCTGCCCACCTGCCTGTCCTGCTCAGTGGGCAGGCGTGCCAGTGGGCAAAGAACCCCAAATGGTTTTCCTGCCAGGAGAATCTGCGGTGTTTGCCACCCCCCACTGAGGGAATGCAAAAGCAACCATTCATGGTAATTACAATTTCACATGCTGCTCACATTCCTGTGGCTCTAATGTAGGGGATTGAGGCTAAGCAGGGAGTTCCAAGCCAGCTGGACTTTGAGCCCAGTTCTAACACACAGAAATTGGAGAGCAAACACTTGCCATTCGATCCTCAAAGGTTTTAACCATGATGCCATCTGGCAGGGAGGTGGCCAGCAGAGCCATCTCCTTCCTCACAGTGCTAAAGAACTTCTTTGCTTCTGGGGGCTGGAACTCCATTTTCTTGAAGGCATGACTATCTGTGAGTCAAGGGAGAGAGCAGAATTAAAGCCTGCCACCAGCTCCTTATAAAGGCAGATCCATCCATGCATTAAATGTATCATTTGGACAAAAAGAGAGAAGGGACATCAGCAGGAGAAAGTAGACACACATCTTCCTGAAGAACCCCAACTCCTGCAGTAAAGACAGGAAGCCCTAGAGCTTTTCAATATATCCCAGCTTACACATCAGCCCAGGGCAATTCAGCTTACTTTGGTGCTGAGCCAGGAGGCAGCCCAGAGATTATTTGCTTTTTCCTACATGGTACAGCAGCCACAACCTGTATCTCCTGTTCTCTTGGTCTTGCAAAGGGCCCTGTCACACTGCTGGGATGACCTCTTGCCTGCAGAAATCTGAGTGCAGCTCCCTGCTTTTATTTGCATGCACCTGCAGGTTCAGAACAGGTTGGCCACCTCTCCTCCCCAGCTCTGTGCTTAGCTGGTGGGCTTGCCCAGCACCTCGAGCTCTGCTGTCACCTGTGTTCCACACAACCAGATGCTCTTTCTTTATTTTTGGCAGATGAATGTTAACAAGGACGCTCATCCAACCAAGGACACCCAGCACAAGAGCACCAGCTGTTCTTGTTCTGCTCCTCAACCAATCCACCCCTACAAAAATAAGGCTGAACAAACCCCATCACTTTGAAATGTCTGATCCACACAGCCCTCCAAAGTTCATTTCCAATGTGGAAAAGAAAAACAAGTCCGTTTTATGGCTTGAGATGCCACCTGGAAACCAATTTAGCTCCCAGAATGAACTGCTCTACCAAAGTTGTCTTCATTTCTCCTCCCCACTTAATCAGCTACAAGAAAGATAACAGAGGATACCCAACCCCTAGAGGCCTAGATGCAAATATTTTGGAGCAAAACAACCATGGCAACACAGAGCCTTCTCAGCAGCCTGCCCTGGTGCACTCACCTGGAGCATATTCCAGCACAGAGAACACCTCTCCCTTGGCACTGGTGAAGGTGACTCCAGGTTTGCCCCCACTCTGCTGGCACAGCACTGGTGTCTCACTGGGCCACTCTGACCTCACTGGTGTCTGTGCCTCTGCTTTTTCTTCTTTCTTCTCTGTCTCCACCATGGCTTCCATCTTTTCCTCCTCTGCAATAGCCACGTTATCCAAGGTTTTCTTGAGATTTTCCTGCAGCTTTTTAATATCGTCCAAGAATTTCTTCTCCCGAGTGGGTTTTTCCAGCTCCACAGTTGGGGAGGTGGGAGAACCAGTCAGCAGCTGCTCCACAGTCATATTTTTCAGGCTTTCCAAGATCTTGATGGCTTCCTTTAGTTCCCTGAAGCTCTTCGGGGCCCCGTCCTTGCCAGCTTTCTCTGCAGCAAGATCTGCAACTGCCATAGCCACAGCTCCCTGGACTTGTTCCTCTACTTTTTTTACCTCCTCTGCTGCTGGCTCCTCGGGCTCTAACTCCTCAATTCTTGGGTGGTCGTCTTCCATGAGGCCATTGTCTGTCTCCCAGCTGTCGCTTTCATCCTCCCACTCAGAGGATGCCCCACTGGTGCTGCCATCCACAGAATCATAGTCTGACTCCTCAATTTCCGACTCGATGTTGTATAAGTGCTAAAGGAGAGCAGAGTTAGAAAAGGCACACAGTATTTAAGGCTGAAGTGCAGAGTTTTAACTGTTATTAAAAGCAGACAAGTCGGTTCTCCCCATGAAATGGGAGCTGTCAGCTGAAGTTTGTGAGGCTGTTCCAACCCCTTCCATCTACTCAGGGTGGGTGAGGTCTGATCCAAATAACATCCTAATGGATGACCCACACTGAGTGAACCAGCAGAGCCTCATCCTCCACTTGGCAAAGTAGGGCTTTGGGGGGTGAGTAGGGCAGGTCCAGGTGGGCTACAACCTTCCCAGTGGCTGGGGCAGAGCCACCAATAAGTGCATGTTAGTGCCAACCAGCTTCCCAAACGCCCCAGGGGCTCTGAACGCAGAGCTAACTCAGAAGGTGCTGGGTATTATGAGTGGAGTTTGTATTTCTAGCTGTGCTGGCACAGAATGCTGCTTTGGCTGCCTCCACACTCCGTCCTTCCACACAGACAATGCTGGAACCAGCGAAAAAATTCACACACCAGATTTCTTCTTCTGTGGCACACACTACTTGCTGTCAGAGCTCTGCTATGCTGCTTTAGCTGCTGTATGTGACTACTGCTTAAAATTCAGCTGGGACAATAAAGTCTAACTCAAGCTGCTGACTAAGCTCTTACATAAAATGTTCTCTTCCCCTTCAGTACCGAAAGCAGAACCCATCCACGCTCCATCTACCCTCATCTCCTCTAATCATGCTTTTGCACACACTGCATCTCTCGTGAGGTTCTCTGCAGAGGCTCAGAGATGCACTCGACGCCATCAGAGAAGCAGAAGACCAAGAACAACTTTGCTTCTGAGGCTTGAATGATGGCCCAAGAGTCCTCTCAACCTTGCAAGACGTGATTCCAGAGGCTGAAGCACACGGACACTCAGTTCTCTTGTCAAAGCCTCGAGCTGATCCAGCCCTGCTCAGCCAGTTCTGTGCCACCCAGAGACAGGCAGCCAGTGGGGGTTGGTTGGGTTTAACACAAGTGACTGCAGGCAGGAAAAGCCACCAAAACACACCGCCCTTAAAGCTAATCCAAATTTGAGATGGAATATTAGCCAGTTATGCCATCTTTATTTTTAGAGCTGAGAAAAAGCACTCAGGCAGCTCATCTGTGGCATGCGGGCAGGCATTGATAAATCACAGTTTTACTAACTGATAATTCACTCCTGACATTTCCCCAACTCCCATAATTATACAGACAAGCAGAATGGAAGGGACTGGTGTGACACAGCAGGAGCTGCTGGAGTCCCAGCACTGCAGCGTGAGAGCAGCCCTTTGTGGAGCACACAGCAGACCTCTGATTGTGCCTGGCATCCAAGCACATGTGACAACAGGGGGAAGGGAGACAGCAGTCTGCTTTGTAACGCTCTAGTCCACTGCCATAGTGCAGGCATTGACTATTCTACTGTAATTAATGCAGAGATGCTTGGCTTAAAATGGAATCTTGATCAAGTATTTTCTCCTTGCAGAAGCAATGTTGCTCACTGTCATGCTGCAGGAGATGGACCCTACAGAAGCAAATCTGCTCTTCTCTTCAGGCTGCCTGGGTTAATTTGAAGCAACAAGGAGAAGAGACATGGGATGGAACTACGTGGAATAGTGAACACGATTCCAAGACCATACAATATAAGCCTTAAAATAGAACAATGCAGAGGACAAATGAATGGGGTTACATGGATTGGCAATATGGCTCCACATTTTTCAAGTCTGCACTCAACTCCTCTCCCTCCCTGCCTCAGGAAGACATTTGGGTCTGACCCTTATGTAGGTAAGGTCACAATTTGTGGCTCTCATCCAGCTTCTGGAGGAGCTTCTTAAGACAAAACACCACAGCACTGTTTCACAAGCCGGACAGAAGCAGCAATAGTTTTTCAGCTGTGCTTTAGTTGTGCAACACAGTGAATCTGGGCTCAAGTTAAAGCTGATGATCGCCGAGCTCTGCAGCCCACTCTGCAAAGCAGCAGGTGCTGTAGGCTGTGGTCAGAGACACAAACAGGCAGCACAGTGTGTGCAAAAGGACCAGCAGCCTGCCTACAATTCCCTGGCAGCATAATATTCTCTATATTCAAAAGCCATGCTGACTAATTAACTGATCAGTCATCCTAAAACAAGTGAGGATTTTTGTGTGCTACCAGAAGTGGGAAGCCCCACTGTCATGGGAAGGCAATAATAAATAGAGCAGGATTCCCTCACAGGCAGACTTTCTTTGCAGCCTTGCATTTGACACCAAAACTTGCAGAGTTACCACAAGCTGGGAGCAGCACCTCACCTGAGGCAGGATGATAGTCTTGGAGTTATCAGCCCACACCACCTCCACTTTACTGCTGACATCCACGCGAGCCACCTGCCCGACCGAAGGCTGTGGAAACAAGGGCAGTTTGTCAGTTTCATCTCTTTCCCAGGCACTTCAGTACACATCACCCTCCTTTGTTGATGACCTGCAATCCTGGACCTTCCCAAAGCAATGCTTGCAGCTTGGGTGGAGAGCGAGCTGAGCAGAAGTAACAGCAGCCCTGGGGCTGTGGCCTTTCTGAGGGCAGCATCACTGGGGTATCTGCCAGAAAGGGACACCACAGAACCCTGGAGCAGGCTGCCCTCTAGTGGGATGCCAGGAGCCACTTGCCACCCCCCCGGGAAGGCTGGCAGCAGCTTTTCCAGAGAGCACAGACACATACAGACATGCTACAGCTGGCCCGGAGTGTGCTCATTAAGTAGCACTGGAAGGAGGTTATCTGGGTCAGCCGAGCAAGCGTGGATGTGTTCCATGCTGCTGAAACGAGAACTGCAGCAAGAGCCATCCTACACCAGCCATCCCTTTTTAGGGCAGCTGTCTCAATGGCTGGAGGGCTTCCAGGCAAAATAAGGAAACCTGCTTCCCAGCAAACTCCATGTTCTCTACAAAACTGAGCGCTCTCCCTTTCCCCCCAGATCAACCCAGTGATCCAAATTAACATATGTATAATAATCCAAAAATGAGAATCCCACTCTTCTGTGGTCGAATGAAACTGGTTACACAACAAACTCACCTTCACTACTGCACAGGAATTCACAAAACATTCTCATGTTAAAGGTTACTTACATCCTGAGCAACCCTCAAGCCTCGTCTCAACTTTGTTCTTGTTCAGCTACAGTCCCCATCAACCCAATGATTTCAGCACAGAATTTCCACCAGCCCTGGAGATCTGATACGTTTCTCACGACAGCAGGGGATCCAATAAAACAAATCCAGCAAGCTAGAAAATTAAGGATGCCCACACAGAGCCTAAGGCTCCAGACTACGGGTCTCCCACTGACTCCTTTCACACGCCCTAACACTAATGCCAGGTGATACCACAGCCATGTAATTGCACTGAGAACCGACCTCATCTTCATTAGCTGTGGCTCCATCCGAATTGCCGATGCGAATCACGATGTCAGTGGTGCGGAAGCGAAAGTCTGGGTGGTCAGCAATGTCATACACACTCACATCCTCCTCCTCCCCAATCAGCTGCATTGGAGACACAACGCAGACACGTCAGCCCTGGGATGCTGTGCTCATCTTCCCAGCGTACCTCCAACACCTGAGCTACTTTGTGTTCCATCTCGTCACTTTTCTGTTGCCTTAACAGACTGCAGGAAGGAACTGCTCACGTCCCTTCTGTCATTTCATCCTGTAGCACATCAATCAAAGAACTATAATGAAAGGAAATGGGTAGTAACTGCTCTCCCCTGCTCACCCTCACCTTTACCTCAGGTTCCACGTCACTGCAATCACAAGACATGCAAGGTTGTTTCATTCCCTTCTGAACATCCAGATTTCTCAAGGCAGTTCAGTGGGGCCCAAAGAAGAGCATTTACTTTAGAAACAATCTGAGGCAACAGGAAGTGTTTGATAAAAAGCTCATCAACTGATGAGCAAAGGAGAAGTGCTAGGAGCTCCCAAGTAACGAGAAACGAGCAGTAAAGTGGAACACTTCCCCAGACAAACCTGATGTTTTGTTTCTAGCCCACCAAGAATCTGTGAAATACAGATTCACTCTGTGTTTCTACGAACCCCAACACAGCAGGATAACAAGCTATGGATCCTCTCTTTCCATCAACTAGCAAAGACATTGTGGGGAAAAACTCTTGACACTGAACTCAACTGCATGTGTTACTCCCAGACCCAAAGTACATGACTGTTCCCAGCCCCAAGCACCAGCTCCACTGCAGATCTACTGCCAGTTTTATCTATAGGAACCTCACTACTGTGTGGCTCTTGCACTTACCTCCACGTCATCTCCACTGGATTTCAGCTTGAACCACTTCACCACACAGGTACGGCCGATATGGTCACCAGACTGCACGACTCCATACACACCAGGGTCCTGGGAGCTCTGAGCTTTTGGTCACAGTGGTAGGAGAAAACAAACATAGGCAAGTTCAGTGGAAGAGCACAGATTCTGCACACAGCTGAGGCTGTCAGTGCCCCAGCTCTCAGCTGAAACCTTCCATCTGTGAATGGCATTAGGAAAAACAGTTTTTCCAAAACAGTCAAAACTGTCCTCGGGTAAGGAGCTGCATTTTAATAGGGTATGAATTGATGGTGAAACAAGATGATGGTGCACTGGACAGTGTGAGCACATTGGGAGCCCTTTTATCCAGACTCCTTTCTGGAAAAACTGAGGGTCACAACAGGCAGGTCCTTCAAGGAGAGCAGCACAGCATGAGTTGTTCATTCCTCCCCTGGTTTTGGGACACACCTCAGAGCCATTTGCACTTTCAAAGAGGAGGCAGGCAACCTCTACAGAACACTGAGCATCCTGGCTTTGTTCCTCGGTATTTGTTCCTTTCACAACTTGCCTGTCACAGTTCAACCTTGGCATTTAAACAATGGCTGTGTGCTGACACATGTCAAGTCACCTGAATCACTGCCTGTCCCTGGTAAGGCTCTTATGTTAACTTCACCTGACCATTTCTAACAGCTACCGTAAGACGGGCTGCAACACGTTCTAGGGGATCCAGAAGGAAGAACATTTTGCTATTAGAAGCATGTTTACTCCCCAAGGAGAGCATGTCTGTGACACTCGGTACCTCTTTTGTCCACCACAAAATCCCCAGGGCAGAATTCATTGTTGTCCAGATGATGGACTGGAATCAGCTCGTTGGAACGAATGTTGGTCTCCACAGTGCCATCCTGCCACATCACATCAGCTGAAGTCATCGTGGTCACCACCTCCACTGCAACCCTGCAAACACAGTCAGTGAGTGACCAGAGGGAATTTTCAGCATCCATCTCAGCTCTTCCATAAAGACAAACACACTGAACACAAGGATATATATTCTTTTTAAAAGAGAATTCTCCTTCCCAGCTGTTCAAACATGCACACATCTGCCTGCAGCTCGAAAATGAATCCCAAGCATGCAGCCAAAAACCACATGCTGGTACTCCACCACAGAGCGTGACAGAGTTTGGATGTGTTCTGTGCTGCAGGAGACATGAGGAAGGTGGAGGTCTCATTAGCAGAGTTTGCCTGCACTCCGTCCTGCCTGACTCCACACAACCTGCCTTTTCAATCTCGTGCTGACTTTAAGCACAACCTTTACTTTGCTGGCCAGGCCTTGCAGACACAACATAAGTGCTGCATTTGTGTTGGTTTCAAGTCAAACTGTGAAGAAGACAAAGAGGCTGTCCCCCCCCATTCCTCCCCAGCCCTTTTTTTATGAATGTCATCATCACATTTTTAAGTGGAAATAATATCAGTTTGCATTCTCAGGGGTCTGTGTGCTGCCCAGAGAGCTGCAGGAAGTCTCAAACTGATGGTAAAGCAGCATGCTGAGCTGGCACCCTGTAGGTAGAGGTGGCCCTGAGCTGACACATCAGATCTGGTGAGCGACCACCCGCTTTGCATCTCTCAGCAGTGCTTGGCAGTGCACCCACCAGTGCTTCATCTGAATATTCAGACAGCAAACACCACTCACACTGAGCTGTGACCAGCTGCCACATGTGTCCTGTAAAGTATAAGCACAGAGATGAAACCCTAGCTGAAAAAACCCACATTTCTTGTATTTGGAGGCACAGTCACTGCTGCAAAGTGTCTTAACACCAGGCCTCTGAGTTCCCCTGCGTGGAGTCAGAATTGCCATGGGGATTTCTCCCAGCTAAGCTTTCCCTAGTGAAGTCTTTAGTGAAGGAGAAACACTCAGCAGAATGTGTAAGTGAACTGAGAGTGAGTCTCCCAGCATTCCCAGGAATGCTATCTTGTGTTCCCATTTCTGCTTCCGTTCCAATAGTGTTCTGCTGAGGTTCGTGACCTTCAAACACAATTTCTCCAAAACCTTCAGGAAATAAAAGGAACAACGAAGCTAAAATACCAAACAAAACGTGAACAAAGTCCAGGGCATTCTCAAACTACTGGGTCCCTTAAATCCTGGTGTCACTTTCTTGGAAGGACTGTCACATGTTATTTGCATTGGTTTATTTCTGATGCAGCATTTTTATACAAGTAGTCCAGGAAAACCAGCAAGACAGGTTCCCTAGCTGTCAGTGTCCTTGCTTCCCCTGAAAACAGTTTAAACATTCTCAAGTTCAGAAAGAGATAGCAAATGCTAAGAGATGCAGTTATTTCTAGAAGTGGGCTGAGAGATGCAATCCTCCCTCCCTCAGGCTACTGAAATCAATTCCTCTGAGGCTTTCAAGCAGTGCATTTTGTCTATTAAAAAAAAAAACAATTTGGCAAAAGCTGCTGATACCTATGCAGAGCAGGATGAGGATAAAACAGAGCCCACTGCAGTACGAAGCCCTGCCAGCAATGAGCTCTGTGAGGATGAGCTGTCCAGTCACACTGCTATGGTTTGTCCTCAGCCTCTCTGCAGAACCACCACCCAGGTACCCAATTAGTGTCACATCTAAGCTATGTGATCTTTATTCACCTCCTGCTCTGCGCACAGAGCCGAGCGCAGCACAGATATTCTGTCGATGCCCTGAAGCACAACTGAGCTGGACCAGCATCAGTGTCACATCACGTGGCCACAGTTTCATCAGAAGCTGGACTCAAATCAAGTTGATTTCACACAGTCATCGCAAGGTAATCACTCCTGGTTACTAACGAGCAGTGTCCCAACATCAGGCACACCATCGTTCTCCACCCATGCTGAGGAGGTGGTTTACATCTGAAAGGGATTTTAGCAACTCTACCTAGGTTTGGAAACCCAACTCACCTGTCTCCTGGCTTAAATTCTCTTGAGATCTTGGTCTTCTTCTTCTTGTGCTTCCGCTTCAGGTTTTTGATGGATAGAGGGATGCTCTTCTTGCGGCCGGTGCCGCTGCCGCTCTGGGATGAGGCGGTGGAGCTGGCAGAAGAGGTGACAGAGCTAGTATCATCTGTGTCATCAGCTGCCTCATCATCAGCATCCTGCTCCATGGACTGCAGCCTGTAATCAGCCGATCCCTCATCTTTCAGCAGAAAGGGAGGTTGCTGTCTCACTGCTGCTCCCCCTTTGTCCTTCCCTGCTTCTTCAGGCTGCTCCTCCTTCCTCTCCCCTGCGCTCGGCACACCATTGGAGGAGTCCTCCAGTTCACACTTGGAGCCAGGCTTAAGGTCTTCTGATTTCTGGTCAGCAGCTGGAGCAGGCTCTTTGTCCGGGGCTTCAGTGGTACCCTGAGATTCTGGGGAGCACGACATGATCTTCACTATCTGCTTCTTCAGCAGTCTCCTCACCTGCAGAAAGCAGATGTGGGTCAAACGATGTGCTTATACACAGCAAAGTGGCAGACAACCCAGGAATGGTGAACTCTGTACAGAGAGGAATACAGCACTCCAGGGGTCTCTGCAGAATACTCTGGTATGGTGAAATGTACAAACTAGCAAGAGCCATGCTAGTGATATCATCACAGCCATCTCACCACTGCTCCTACTTAGGGGCAAATACCAGCAGCAGTAGTAGGACTACTTGCTGTAGTCCTCAGCAAGTCAGCTTTGCTCTTTCAGGCTATTTTAAGCAAGCTCTGAACTTTCTTGTTTTGGAAGGTCACAACAGGCTACACGAGTTAATCTATGCAACAGACGCAGCTGCGCAGGGAGGTCACCATCCACACTGCTGATATCCTGTTATTCTAGGAACACCACTGCTCTACAGCCAACATGTAAAGTCACAGCATGACTCATTTGGCCTAGGAAGCAGACATTCCTAAGTATCACAGCAGCAAGGATTGAACTGAACGCTTTGGCTCCACGATAAATGTGAGGATAGGTGCATGTTTTTGTTAGTGTAAGTCCAGGCTGTCAGAGCACAGCTTTGCCCCTGCAAGTTGACACCCCTGTGTTCAGTGTCCTGTTCACATTCTCATGGATTAGCTGCATGCCTCTCCCAGTGCAGTGAGACTGCTGCACAAGGTGACTCCGCTGCTGGCATCAAGAAGCCATTACTCTTTACAGTCACTCCAGGAGTCACATTTTGGACCACAAGATTTATGCTTTAAAAACCACAGCAATCAGAAACGGTCAGAGAAGTCACACATTCCTCCCTTTACCCCCCCCTAAGTTCACCTTTTTGGCAACTGATCCTTCACCCAGGACACAGTTCCTCTCTGGGCATTCACAGGTGATTTTTGCAGGTTCCACTTTGTCCGGGAACACATAGAGGCACCTTTCTCCAAGCTGCCTCTGGGCATGGTCAAAGCACCCCAGACGCTTTACCCTGGTAGGATGAAAGGAGAGCCATGAGCAAAGCCAAAAAGCAATAACAGAACCTTGCTGCAACCACAGCCTTCACAAGGCTGGCACATCCTCTTGACAACAGCACTTCTTCTGGGGTGGTAGAAGCTAACACCACACCAAGCCTTCCCCAGGCACACAGCTGTAAACGAGGAGTGGAATGTCTCATAAAAGACTGCCTAGGGACACAAAGGGGTCGGGTGGAACACCAGTAACTCCTCTCCCCCTAGTCCTCCTTCCCAGAGACAGCTGCCAAGACACATTTCAAGTTGGCAGTGTTTTTTGCTGCCATCTGAGAGCTCCTCTCCTCCAGCTTCCCCATGAGCTCCAGGCAGGACTATGCTTTGTTGTGCTGTTACTCATCTGACTTTTCTTTCTGAATTTTGTCCAGCTTGCTTTTGCAGCTGCAGCCTGCAGAGGGCACCAGATGCTCCCTCAGCATCAGCGTGGGCCCAGTGCAGGACACTTTATTTCCTTACTGCACACACAGTTAACAGGTGAAGCCTATTTCAGGCACAAACAGAAGGACAAGCATAGCACTTATTGACTGGAAAGCATTAGGAGAGGACGGTGGGACGTTGGGATTTGTAGTTAGTCCTTCACTTTTTTGATGTTTTGGAATATAGGTATATAACAAGGAGGGGAAAAAAAAAAAAAACATCTTCGTGTCTAATCAGCTGCAGGCACGTCACCCACATTTGTGCACACCATGCCAGTGCAGAAGGTTTTCAACTGCTCTCACCTGGACAGGTTCTCCTGGCTGATTATTGAGGGTGGAGGACTCACACTGTCAGTACCTCCAGGACAGAAGCTTTTAGTGATCCAAGTAACCTTTAGTTCTACCACCTGCACCTGCAATGTAAAGAGAAAGGGGTTTCGTTTTTCAGCTTTCCCAAATCCATGCCTAGGATCTGAAAATTTAAGGGAAAGCAACAAATCTGCTTTTGTCAATTAAGTGTAGTTTCCCAACATCCAGAACCACTTCAGCTCCTCTGCAGCATGGCTGTGGGCAACACTGAGCGCTCCTACAGCTTTTAGCTTCAAGGAAGATGGCATCTGGCTTTGGAAGGAAGCTATAAGCTCGTACAACTCAGCAGTCCAATGTCACAAAGACACACTAATGGACTTGGAGCTGCTCCCTCTTTCAGCAAGGAGTCAGCAACATTTCTCTCTTTTTGGTAGCACGCAACATTAACTTTCAATGGAAGAGGTGCTTCTACTACCCTAACGATCAGCCCTACAAGCCTCTGAGTGCACTGGCACATGGTCACCTTACAAGGCGCCAGCAGGGACCCTTGGGAGGAAAAGCCAAACCATGCTCAAAAGCCCTGTCAGCCCACAGTGAGAAATTTGTCACATCAGAACAGAACCAGAGTGCATTTGCTCTTGGGGAGGTTACCATGGCAAGCTGACTTTGCTCCAAGCTGCCAGCCAGGGAGCTGCTCCGTGCAGAAAGTGGCCCTGTGTCAGCTTGGCAGCTCTTACCTCTTCCACCACCACTCGGAACTTGCTTTTTGTGCTCAGAACAGGCTTCACACCCGAGAGCCACTGTACACTGGAGAAGACTTTAGAAGGCCCGATGAGGACTTGCCCAGGATAAAAGCCATACGAATCATCAAAGAAGAGACCCTGCGAGGGAAAGGGAGGAAAAAACAGCATAAAGGACAGAAGTTTTAAGATTGCAGCCTTTCCCTTCCCTCGTTCGTGATCAGCAAGGTTAATACAAAGGAAGAAGTCTCACTAGCAAGTTGCCCATCTCTTAAAGCTCGTTTCTGAAGCCAACCCAGCAGTTTCTATAGCAACCTGCTCTATCACACATTCATACAGGATTATGACTCAGTAGGGGAGAAGCAAAGGTATTGCAAGAAACAAAAGATATGGATTTCACACCTATGTTCTCAGTAACAAGGCAGCCACAGAGGCCACAGTCCTGGGCAGGGACACCTGATCTCTTTTCCATGCTCCAGTTCAAGCTCCTGCAGCTATCAGCCAGCCAGGGGATTCCTGCCTTCACTCCTCCATCTGTCAGACTAACTTTGTGAGTGTTCTTCCTGCCTTTGGTGATTAGTCAACACAACAATCCTATGAAAACAGAACAGGGCTATAAAGAAAACAATTATTTCCTAGAACTCTTTTCCACCGATATTTAGAGTGATTTGATGAGCCAAGATTCAGGATGTGGGGGCGGACAGAACGGTTTAGAGTAGATCGAATACAGAGCACAGAAATGTAGCAAGTCTTGTAATTTGTCAGAAAGGATAAGAGCAGTGCAATGAGATCTAGATCAGGTGTGCACCTAACACAGCAATTCTGAGCACAGGACCAAGGGTAACACCGGAGATAACTCAAGTTTAAGACAAAACTGTGAGCCTCTGTAGGATTGCATGTATTCTGAAGGCAGCCTGACTGAAAAAAGATCTCAAAAATCAGTGCTCAGAATGCGGATGCTGCTTCAAAACAGATTTAGCAAGCACAATAATGCTGTGCAACCCAAAATAGCAGAGACTAAAATACCAGAGAAGGTCTAGCAACAGACCACACCTTTTCTGTGCAGAAGAAAACCACGGCAGCGCATCCTATTACAGTTATATTCCATTTACTCCTCGTGAAATAGAGGAACAGAAATGCAGTTTTAGATCTTCATTTTGAAGGCTGGGAAGGATAAGGGCTAACTGCATTTTAGTTTGTATGAATTACGTGCTATTCTCTCAGCCAACTCCAAATAAAGCAGCTGGGAACACAGCGAGGCCCTGCTGATGCCATTTGGAAGGAGAAGCAAGCTGCTGTCTGCTTTGCAAGGTGAGGAAGTTGAGACTCCATCAGCACACAGCTGAAATGCCAGCAGAACCTTCCCCACCACGATATGGAAAACTCCAGCATGATGGCAGCTCTCCATTCAGAGAATGCAGCAGACAACGACAGCAAGAGAGCATTCTACACCATCTAGAAACGTGCTTCTAGCAGAACATCATTTACACAGCACGCCCTTTTCCAGAAGAAAGCATCACATTTGAAAGTATTAAGTGGAGCAAGAGCCTTTTCAGGCACATACAGATGTACTGAGCAGACAGTGAACCACGTTGACATCAGCCACCTGACTGAATATTGTGTGACTTGTTTGCAAAACGCACAGTGGGATATACTAAATGTAATATCTGCTGAAAACCTGCTTGTTAGTAACCCTAAAATGGTTTGGATTGGGAGGGACCTTTAAGATCATCTAGTTTCAACCCCTCTGCCATAGGCAGGGACACCTTTAAGCTACGTTTCGTTACACCTTACTTAAGAGAAGATCCAGCTAACTGTTTTTCAGATGTAACGCATCACTGAACTTTTAGTATCTATAAATAATTGTGGTTTTGCCCTTGCCCTTCCCCTCTCCTTCTTATGCAAAAAGCTTATGAGTTAAAGTTGACCAAACAGACTCTCAGGAGAACCAGAAGCTCACCGAGTCACTGACGTGAGGACAGACGTCATACAGCTTGGCTCCATCTTCTGTGCTCATAGAACACCTGGAGAGCAGACAAGACACACGGTCACATTTCCAGAGCCAAACAGCACCACATTAACAGCTGCTGCCTGAGTGGGTCTGTCCGTATTGCTGAGCCTTTATGGTCCAGAGCAGAACTGACCACAGACAAGTTGTAAAAAACACTGCCTGGTATTCAAAGGCTCCATTCAGGGAGTAAAAAATAAGAATATTAAGTAATATGTGAGGTACTGGTCAAGATTTGTTTGCTGCAGAGGTGTCATTTGTTACCCACACTGGTGCAGGAAACTAAAGGCAGTTTGGGTACACTTGCTTCAGTAATAGCTTTACGTCCAGACTAAGTTCTGCTGGGATTTCAAATGATTCATTGTAAAGATTTCAAAAACAGTTACCTCATTTGACACAGCTATGCATGAGTTGCTAACAGAAACCAAGCTAAGTTTTAAATGCCACCAGTAACTGCAGGCAGTGCAGATAGAGAAGTGCAGCTATTTTTCACTCCAGTTTAACAGATGTGTAAGAGCCTTTCAGTCTGGGTTAACCAAAAGCTCAAACAGTCAAGAAAATCACAGAAGCATCCACCAGTCATCTTTTATAGCTTTTGCAACGCTCACTTATCTTAGAAAAAGCTGAATGCAGAGCTGTTTTTTTCCTCTTTATTTTTTTTTTTTTAAATCATTACCATCCAATTTACATGACAGATGGGTTGTATCCCAGCTGCTGTGCCTGTGTGCCTCCCAGCCCTCCACTGGCTCCTTCCTTCCTCTGCATCACTAAGACCAGACAGGCCCCAGTCACAGCACAGAGTTCAGAGGGCTTCAATTTACACCCTGTCTGACATGCACAAGGATCAGAATTCAAATCGTTTACTGGCTCTGCAGAACCACACATTAAGGTAACAAAAAAAACTCCTGCAATTGCTTCTGGTTAAATCTCTCTCAGGGGGTATGGCTTTAGATTACATCCTCATTAAAAACATTCCTAACACTGTTGTAAATAACAGTGCAGATAAAGCAGAGCTGACCATAACGACTTAAGTTCAATCTTGGGCTGCTTTTTCATCATTAATAGGAAGCACCAGCCTGCAAGCTTCCACATTCCTGGAGATGCTTTAAGGTAAGAATCCTCCCTCCCTGCCTGTCAGAGGAGGCACACTCTCCTACTGAGAAGTCTGGAATTCATGATATGTCAAAACAACCATTTTTTCCAGGGCAGAAGCACAGTTTTAAAAACCAACATATTTAATTCTGGAGGGCTGATCTGCTGGGACTGACAAAAATAACATCCTTCAGATAACACGTTTCCAGAGGGTAATCAGTGACGTTTTCAGATAAAGATGTATTTGTACTCTATATCCAAGGATAAAGCAAGCAGATGACTTCACAGGAGCACATGAATGAGAAGCTCAGCCTGCGCCTAGTTCTCCTCAAACAGATCAGGATCATGAAAGCTAGGGGCATTCAATAGAAGAAGTACCTGGCTCCATTGGAAAGCTTAAGGATGACTTGGTTCTTCAGATCATACACCTTGCCCAGCCAGCAGTCGTAGGCTATGTAGTCACCATACATGAAGGGCTGTGAAGAAAACGGGAAACAAGCTTTATAAACATCAGCCCTTGTATTTTGAACCAGTGAGTAAATCCTCACATAACACAGACTGGATGGCGACCTCAGAGGGGATTTCAGGCAGCAGCTGCATACCTTGCTGTAAGCTTGAATTAAGGTACACTGAAGAGTCAGAGCACAGTACAGATTCTCCATTGAAACAGTCCTGAATTTCTGCACTTGATAAAACCTTATACCACTCAGCATCCAAAAATCCCCCACCCGCACAAATGGGAGAACCAGGAATGTTTCAGTTCAACAGAAAGCTGCTCGACTCCCCTTAGCATTCTCACTGCTTAAGCACCAACAATATTGCTGAGAGGTTGTGGTTGAGGGGCTGTGGTTGTATTGTCACCTGACAATCTCAATAGAGAAGCTCTCACAATTTAGTGACAACCCCACCTTCCAAGCCTGATCTCAGCAATGTGCTCAGAAACACAGAACAGATGGGCAGAAGAGGAGATGCTCCACCTTCTCCCAGGGAGGATGCTTTAAAATAAAACCAAGCTGCAGATGCATCTTGCACAGATGCTTCCTTTGCACAAGTTGCTTGGAACACAGCAGCATTCTTCCCATCACCAAAACCCTGGCTCCACTGTTTGTTTTGGCTGCATTCTCACCCAGATATGTTGCAGGTCTTTGCTGTTGACAGGGTACAGGATGCAGTTGGTTCCTACCAGCTTCACAGCACATTCTATGTTGACATCAATTACAGTCCCACACTGGCTGTCCTGGAAACAAAAAAGAAGAGAAGGGTTTAGAACCTAGAGGAGGCCTTGCACACAGATGCACATGCTTCGTGCACAATCTGTGCACAGCAATCTGTGACTTCTCATGTAAAGCCTGATTGTGCAGGACGTTATAAATGGGCTTCACCTGCTGCCATACTAAAAAAAAATCTGGCACCTTTCAGATGCCAAGGTTTCACATCAGATAATTTACAGTTGATTCAATTATGCGGTGGTTGCCATTGCCTCTGTCACTTCTTAGCAAAGTTTTAATCCTTTTTGTCCCAAAGAAAACACCACATGCTGTCAGGAGCCTTCTGGGGATAGTTTGGCAATACGTACACTGCTCACACATATGGCAGAAGCCTGCAAGGACAGGCTGCTAACCCAAACACTGTCAGACACAGCAGCTGCCCTGGCCCTTGACAGCTGGGACGATCCATACTTTTATTTATTAAAGCCCACAGTCCACCATAAAAGTGGACTGAGGGACAGTGTGACAAATGCCCTGCTATCAGCAACTTCAAGGCTGTCCTTATCTCAAACACGAAGGTCACTGCTCCAGCAGGACTTGAGCACGATGCTGGAAGTGCTTACACTTGGGGAGAGGTGGATTTGTTTGCTCGGTCCACTTATAAGCATGTTGTTCTATTGGTCACATCAAATATTTATTCAATGCTTTCACCCAGAGCCCTGGGTGGCCCTTCTGAAAGGCCACCAGTATGCTGGTGCTCAGCTCATCCCACCTCCTGTTGGGAGCCAAGATGCCCCACAGCCCAGAATGGCTGCTGGGCAGAGTGTTCAGCCCAGATTGGCTGCATTTCCACCTTGCATGCTGCAATCCTCTTCCTGGAATTACAGCAGCCTGCGTCCTGCAGGTACAGCTCCCAAGGCAATGAAGGCAGCAATCTTCTCGTGCCACATCCCTGCAGAGCTGTGCCAGTGTATCAGCAGGGCTGGGGGAGCCAGGCTGGCACAGCTCAGGGCAGCAGGGCTTCATCCCTTCCAACTGCTCTACAGATTACTGCCACTTTTAGAGAGGTTTCCTTTGCTTCCCAACCCTCTCAGCTACAGCCGATGGCTGCACTAAACCTGGCACAGCCAGCAGCCTGCACGGTGCCAGGAGGAGCCCTGCAGAGCCCTGCTGCCCACTGACACCTCTGCAGAGACCCACACAAGCTGTGCCAGAACCACACCTGAGTCAGGCAGCTGCTGCCAGCAAGGTTCTGGCCACAGGATGAGCAAGGCCTGCTCACAAGTGGCACCCGCAAAGCAAAACCCTCACCCTGACTGCAGCTTCTGCTACTTAAATACAGCCCGTCCATCCTCTGCTCACGTTTTGCTGTTTAGGGTTTGCTAAGTCTGTGCTACAGACTGCTTAGCTAGCAGCCAGAGAAACAAAAAACCTTCAAGTTGCTGCTGTTCTGGGATTCAAGTCTCTCAGCCCACCTGAATCAGCTGAAACAAAGCGTCAGGCTTCCCATGGCAGGGAGCCTCCTGCCATCAGCACCGAACAAACACAACAATGGCAGCACCCCGGTACCTGGCATCCCCAGAGCCCATCTGACACAGCTGGGTGCCACCTGATCATGGGAAGGAGCAGAGGGTTTATTTCAGCTCATGTCCCCTTGCACCTGATAAGTTCCTGAGAACACAGACTTACATGCAAGGGTTAAGAAAGCAGAGATGAACGCTGCGAGCGGCCTGAGAAGTGACAGGAGCACAGGATGCTGGCTCTCCTCTCTCATCTGCTGCTGAACTGCTGTTCTGGGTTTATTTACCTCGCTGTCACATGAAGCATTGCCCTGCACCACAGAGGCAGTGCTGCGGGCAGGGAAGTTCTGCTGAATCACAGCAAGGCTGCAGCAGTGCTCAGCAATGCGGTCCCAAAGCAAAAAGAGTTTCATCCCCTGACCCATCAGCCTCCTATCTGAGAGCACAGCAGCTCAGCAAGCTCCAAGACCCCCACACCACTCCCATCTGACTCATTCCCTCAATACTCCCTTCTAACAAGGAGATCTCCACCTACCACTGCTCAATTTAAAGGGGCAGCAGCATCCAGCACCCTCCAAAGCAACAAATCTGCGCGCCTGACAGATTGCAGCCCTATTTCTGATCTTTTCCCCCCAAGCATCACCTGGAAAAATGGAGTCTGCCACCATTCTGCATCCATCTGGATTAGACTCACGGGGGCCCAACCACATTCTGAGAAAATGACCTCATTTCATGCATTAGGCATTCCTTCCTCGCGCTCACTGCTAGACGAGAAGCACTGAATTTGAGTCAGCTCCTCTCTTGAGGAACAGAGGATTTCGAGTCCTTCCCACCCAAGGTTACAAACGAGCCCTGGGAGTGCAGTGCATACAGAGCAAGTTCCTCATTGTGCACTTGCCAGGCCAAGTGGTGCGGGGCAGGCTGACAGCCACTGCTCTCCTATTGTAAACGTGGTTGTGATTTTTTGCAATACTCTAACATTTTTCTTTGGGACAGAAGGGGTTCATTGCTTTATTTACCACTGATATTTAAAATATACTTGAGATGAAGGTGAAGCTCAGGTCATCTTCAGATACACCACGTTTTTGAGGGGAGGAAAAAAAATCGAGTTATTTACCCACCATCCTATAGATAAAATGACATTATCAACCACGAGCACAAATGGTCAAGTGAAAGCCAACATCTAAACATGCAAACTGAACGCCTGCTGGGACACACCAGTGTACCTACCAACATATGTGCAGCAAGCTGGAGAAGCCTATTTGTGCTCCAATGAGTATGGAAATTGCAAACAAAAGCAGCGTATCCACATTTGCCAAGAAGAGAACAGCTCAAAGAGACTTTAAGCTTTCAGGATGGTAAAAAGCATTAGAAACAGGCAATTGAGAGAAAGGACACAGAAAACATCCTGCTTTGAGGAAGAAGATACAAAGCAGTGTCCAGCTGTGCCAGGTACAGCACTGTGAGCTGCTGATATTTCCATGTGCCAGCAGTTCCTTGTTTTGGATTGAAATGGTTTCATAGAGCTGCAGTTTTACTAAGAGATGTTGAATCCAAATTTCCACTTCAAACAAGAATTTGATTTCTTAAGGAAATGCTTTATTTCAGCATTTTTCAACTTATCCTTCAAGTTTTTGTTTTCCTACCTTTTTCTTGTCTTTGGAACATTCTGTGCAAAAGGACTGGGTTGACTTTTTTTTTCTTAATGGATAAAAGAGGCTTTATTTCAAGCACTCAGCCAGGTCAGAGGATGGCCTTGTCTGTGCACACAGCTCACCATGTGGTGCAACCACAGCAACCAGTGCCTGTTTGAGCACCACATGAGCACCACACTGCTGGGAGCAAGTCAAGAGAAGATGCAAGCACCCACCTGGCAGCCCATATGGCTCAGGGCTATGGGTTAGCTGTGAGCAGCAGCATGAAGCTGCCAGCCCAGCTAAGCTCCTGAGGGATCCCATCTCATCAATACTGGGACAGTGCTCCCTGTATGTCCTACAAGAAGACAAATCTACACATCTCAGATGTGCACAAATACTGTAAAACTAGCATAAAATGACTAGGGCTTAAACAGTAAAGTGTCAAGGCAACAGTTACAAGCTGATGGTTAAGAGTCAGCTTGTTTTCTGCCAACCTAGCTGTGTCAGATGCTTTGGTGTGTGCCTTGCTTCAACAATGCTGGGGTTTGCTGCAGGTCTGCACTCCCCTCATCTCAGAGCAGCCTGACTTGAAACTGAAAGGACACCCAGGTGGGCAGGTTTGTCTCATGAGCTGACACTGCCAGGCTGCCTGTGCTCAGGAGACCTTTGCAGATACACAACAGCAGTGAGGCAGCCTTATCAGCATCTCGTTTTCAAGGGATGCTGTTAGTTCTATTAGACACACTAAAAATAGAACACACTCAAATCAGTACTGTTCAGTTCCATTCAGGCAATTTGGCAAGTCTGAGAAATCCATGCAGCACTGTTATGAACAAAAAGGGACATGGAAAAGAGCACTTACACTGGAGCTCATGTGTCTGACCACATCTCGAGGGACCACAGAGCGATCTTCAAGCTTCAGCTAAAGGGGAAGAAAAAAAAAAGAGAGATTGGACTTAGTGTTGGCACTTAACATAGCAAACAAATGCACAGCATCTCATCCCTCTGGACTGAACAGGCTTCCAGCACTCCCACACATTGCTGGTAGAGGAGATATCAGTGGATGAACCCAACAATTCCTGGCCAGTTAAGCTGCTTGTGTCCTTCCAGCAGTGACCCTTCAGCAAGCTGCTTCACTCATCTGAAGTCTACTTGCAGGCTGCTCCATTAAGTGTTATTAATAGGCTTAAAACAGCAAAACCCAATTCCCATCTAATGCATGACAAAAATGCTGTATGAGGGATAATGTTCTCGGCATACTAATGGGAAGGACACAAGGCTGCTTGGTTAAGATTCTCCCCTGCAAAACAGGGCCCACTTCTCATCTGCATTTCAGTGCTCAGGAGCATATTTGCATCAGTCTGAGCTCTGCAAACACATTAACTACATACCATGCATTTCAGGCAGCACCACATGAGCTGTGTATCAGGGACAGAGCCTCCCTCACATCTCACTTCCAGCATTCACCCCTCTGCTCCTGCTACGTGCATCACTTTGCTGGTTGAACCCAGCCCCAAACCCACTGTGCTTTGTCAGCATCTCGTCCCAGCCCACACCCTGGCTTACAGCCTGCTCTGCAAAATTAAGACATAAATCTATAATCTGAGGGCAGGATCCGGAATCAAAGCGAAGCACCTGAGTATTTATTGCCTTCTTGATGGCATGTTTCAGTAAGGCAGGAAGCAAGGCAGCCAGTGAGGCTTTTAGGGCAGCTCCTGAGTCTCAGCTGCAGCGGGGAGGGAAACCTGAAGCCTCCTACAGCCCACTTCCAGCCTGGAGAAGTGTTCATAGCCTCCCACAGCCCACAGGGCACAGATAGACATCCATTTTTATAACCCTTTCCAAAATTATTTGTTGAAGTACTGTACAGAGAGCCCTTAACATCCAGAACCACAGTCACAGCAACAGTCAGCATTCCGGTAACTGCACACCTGTGAGCAGCAGTTTGGGGGTTTTAACTGTAGAGTTCTCTTAATGCAAAGCTCAGGGTGTGATGACAGCTTCATTTCAACACGCATTAGGGCAATGCCAGATTAAACCAACTCATCACCCACCGCTGAGCCGTTCTGCTTTGTTCTGTATTGAACACCACTTGAATTACCCACGCTGACGCTGCCTGGCGCAGGCAATATTTGTACATTAGGCATCCCAGGTAAATCAGGGAAGCTGTTCAAGCATTCCCTTCCCAATCACTCGCACCTGAAGGATATAAGCATGCAGTTTCTTCCAAAAGCAAAGCATCAAGCTTGCTCTGCAGGGGACTGCACTTAACCTGCTCTCTGATGGCTCTGTTTGCAAAAGCAGCACGACTATTTTCAGCTCTGTGCACCAGACCCACCTGCCTCAGTTGCTAGGATAAGCAAGCCAAGGAGTAGGCAGAACACCAGCCCAGAAATAAATACTTTGCAGGTCTGGTATCATGCAAAGATCATTAAAAGCACAAAACCCAACCAGAGCACACTGGAGTGGCTGTTCCTGAACACACAACAGTGCAGTCACTCTTCCTATGTAATCCCTGTGGTGTGATCATCATCCATGGGAGGTCAGCCTCTCGCTCAGCAGCCAGGGAGCTCAGCACTGGATACACTTTTAAAATAGGGACTTACAGCCCAGCTGCTACATTTGCCTCCATGAAAGTCAGTGTTAACATGGCTCAAGTTTTCTGCTCTAGCCAAGTGCTTTGCCAACAGCCCCAGCAACAAGGACTCTCAGCTCCCCAGAAATGCACTCACCAGCACACTGAGCTGAGCTCAGCAACCTCCAACACCTCACATACCAGGGATGTTCTGCCTGTGTTGCCCTCTCATCTTTTTTAATCCACTTTACCTACATTCAAAAAGCCAACGATGCTCATAACATTTCACCCAGGCAGAAAGGCACAGCCAGCACACACATAACCAGGTCCACAGGTTAAGCATCACTACAAGACAAGCAGCTCCAAGAGGCACAATAGTTCTGGAACTCAATTGCTGCCCTGTACTCAGTACTGCTTTCCAGTTCTCAGCACTGAAGCAGTGTCCGAGCTCAGGGGCACACCACCAAAGCAGGAACACCTGGGCTGCTCCACCAGTTCTGACCATACTCTGTACTGCACGAGGGTGGTACAAAGCATCCAGGTTAGGAAACAAGCACCAACATAATCACGTTCTCACTCTCAGCTGGATACTCTCACTTGATGGGAAGCTGGGCAGCTGCTGTCCCCTGAAACTGGGAGATAGGAAAGAGCATTACATCATTAAGCCCCAGCAGCTTTTGCTCAGCCCAATGATCCACAGTCACTGCCTGCTGCTCCCATACACACCAGGGGCTCCTTACCATGCTCAGAGGACTTCATTTCTCCATGCACCGTGCAGACCAAGCCATGCTGGGGAACTCACAGCACAGCATGGTCCTGGGATGGCTGGGACCTCTCACCACTGCAATCCACCCTGGCTCAAGGCAGAACATGTCACAGGTTGGAGCCTTCAATATGCAGAGGCACAAAGATTTGGGAGCATATGTTCCATGTGGGTGAGCCATAGCAGTGCAACTTCTGTATTTCTGCTCAGCTCCCAGCACTGCCCAGCTCAGCCTGGCTGTGAGGATGACACCTGATCCAGCACAGCTCTTGCCAACAGCAAGTTAAACCGAGTTCACAGTGTGTCACTGCTGTCTCTGACAGCTGCAGTGTTTGCCCAGTGAAAAATCAAACCTGGGAAAGGTGCTGGTGTGATCCCACAGCCCCTATCTCCAACACAGCCCTTATGCCAGACACAGCTTTAATCCCTGTTTAACTACACAACAAACTTTGGGAATAAACACGCAAGCATCAAGGAGAAAAAGCAGCAGACATCCACCCTTCCCTTTGGTAACTGCTTAGAACTAACAGATATGAATGCACAACTGCTGGACTTGAAGCCTCTGCAGCTGGCTGTGCTGCCATGTGATGGATGAGCTCCCCCAGCAGTGACCCACCAGCAGCCACACGGATTCTGTGCAGCATGGAAGTGCTTCCACATGAGCAAAGCAGAGCTGGGGAGCAGCACAGCAGCAGCCTGGCTTCCAGGCCCCGAGCAGCACAGACCTGCAGCTCTTTCTTGGCTCTTCCTCCATCTCCTCACCCAGCTTGTGTAACTGTTCTCACTTAAGCCACTTCCACACGCCCCTGCTGAATTTGCAAATAAAGATAGAGAAAGCATTACTTGCAATTTTATAAAGCCCGTCCTGTGATAGGGACAGTCAGCTCTCTCAGCAGAAGAAAGGCACTAGAAAAAAAAAACATCTTGCAAATCCATCATTGCCCAAAGGTCTCCTCGTTAGCTAGGCTGAGGTGTTATACATGGAACACGTCACTGCTGTTTTCAGTCTTAAATTTTTATTTTAAACTCTGACTGCACACCCAAATTCCCTTCAGCTACAACAGCAGCACAGCAATCAATGCAAGCTGTTTATTTAAACCCAAATGAGGTATCCAGAATAGCAAGCCAGCTGTCCAAATGCAGCACGGACACACAGAGTCAGGTGACAAAGGTTTGGGATCTTTGAAATTCTGAACATCTGAAGCTGAGATGTTTTAAAGAGAATTTCAGCATCAAAACTACTGGTGGCACCAAAGGCGGCTCTTAGAAAAACATGCTCTGCACGCAGAGCTCACCTCTCCTGAAAGACATTTCTATTACACTGATCGTATTGTGCTGCACAGGAGCTGTCTAGAAAGCAGCAGAAGAAAGAAGGCAGGAGGAGAACCCTGCAGAAGATGAGCCTGGGTTTACTCTGACTTGAAGCAGCTGCAGGCTCCCAGGCTTGGGGAAGGAAGAATGGAAAAGAGAAGGAGGCAGAAGAAAGACCACAGAAAATTCTAGCTTCCAAGGACCAAAGCTGCATGATCTAAAAGAGCTAGGAAATAGAAAGCAGAGGGCTTGACAACAACCCTTGTGGGATGAGACTGAATGGCAGCGAGAGCAAAACGGTGCTGACTGGCAAAGTTCTGCCCTGCCAAACCCCACCCAGAGTGTGTGCAGCTTGTAGCCCTGCCAGGCAGGCGTTCAGAGGGAGTACAGCAAACATTCGGTTAGTTAGAAATTGTACCGAGAGATTAAAAAACATTCAGCACGGCCTGCAATGAATTAACAGTCAGAACTCACGAGCGTGTCATTCAGAACGTACAGTTCTGCTCTGGATTGCTCAGACAGGGAAGGACAGCAAACAGGACCTCCATTTCCTACACTCGGCACAGCTGTGTGTTGGTGAGGCTTTTCTGGGCCGTGCAAACACTGCTGTGCACGAGGTCAGGATGATGATTAACTCCAGGGGCAGAAGGACAGAGCGACGGGTGCTAAAACTCTCCCTAAACCTGAAAGAAATGCTTTAAAGGACTTCACAGAAGCTAAGATGGCATCAGTAGTGCTCCAGCACTACCTGCAGACTGAGACATCACGGCTCTTGCTCATGCCACCACGCACGTGCCAACCCTCTGGCACTCAGACGACGTGGGATGCATCGCCCACCCTACCCTAAGCAGCACCAAACTTTGGGTTTAATCTTACTGTGCACCAGCACATGTGTTCAAATCAGTAGAAGGCAGCACCTACAGGTTGCCCATAAGGATCCTACTGCCAGCAGCCCCATGCTGCCATGGAAGTACCAAGCCTTTCTTGCAGGCCCTTTGCTTACAGCAACGTGTTCTCACATCCAACAAACACCTCCAGGTCCTGTGGCAGCAGGACACCAAGGGGTCCTGCTTTCCTTTTCCCTGAGCAGCTCTGCTTTCATTTTCCGACAGGAATTTGGCTAAAAAAATAAATAGATATATATATGAGTAAATCATTAGATGCAGCAAAAGTTCAGTTTAATTATAACGTGGGTAAACACAGCGCTCAGAGCAGAGGAATCTGGCTTCATAATAAATCTCAGCAAAAACAAATCTTTCACTTGGATTTCCCT